GTCCAGAGTTCTTTGTTTTTTTCCTATCTCTTTGACATACCCCCATTATTTTGTGTGTGTGTGTGTGTGTGTGTGTGTGTGTGTGTGCATATGTTTGTGTGGGCATTATGTGTGTGTGACTGTAGTGCTGACTGTGACTATGGTGAGTCCCTGGTGGCTCAGGATATAGATTTGTGACTGACTGGGGACTAGTGGGTATCTGGAGAAATGTATCCGTGGGTCCCCTTGACAAACTCAATAAAAATTCAGGGGTACTAAAAATCAAGGTACTAATAATCATACAGAGGATTCCGGAGTTGACCAAAACAAGCATCCTAGTGGATTTCTTTAAATAGGAAGCTCCCTGCGGCATATGAAATATAGAGTTTCCCAAAACTGGATTTACACACGATCCTCTGGGAATGTCTGGACCCGTGGCCCTGGGGCTGCACGTGTGTGGGGGTTTGTAGCTGACAGTGAATTTGCCATCAGAAAGCAGCCAGGGAGCAGGGTGTATGCATCTTGGAGCCAAAAGGGAGGGAGCTCGGAGGGCGCGCCCTGCGGAGGACCGTTGGAGAGCAGGGTCGGGGGTGAAGTGCGGGCGCATCTGTAACCATATGCCTTTCTTCTCTCCCGCAGCCCACAGGCCAGCCAGGTGCAGAGGAGCCCCTCAGATGTCCTGTACCCTCGGGTGGCAGGCGTGCCCCTGGCACAGCCCCTGGTGGAGCACTATGTGCCCCGCAGCCTGGACCCAAACATGCCCGTCATCGTCAACACCTGCAGCCTCAGGGAGGAGGGCGAGGGCACAGAGGACAGGAACTCGGTGGCTGATGGCGAGATGTACCGGTACAGCGAGGATGAGGACTCAGAGGCCGAGGAGAAGAGCGACGGGGAGCTGGTGGTACTCACAGACTGATCCCGGCTACGTGGGCCTGGCCCTCCTCCCTGGGGAAGACCGGGCCCCACGCCAGCAGGCACAGCAACCCCACCCGGACTGCGTTGGTACTTGGACTTGGGCATGCCTGGGAGATGGGCACAGCTGTGCATTTGTAGATACATTCATGACGGGAGATGCCCCCTCCCCACCACACCTGTGGGCACACCTGAGGATCTGATGGCCCGAGTGGGTCCTGCATGGCGTTGATGGGCTGGGCTGGCTGAGCTCCGTGGTGGCCCTTGGGGCTCGTGGCCAGGGGACACTGTATGACCCTCCCCTCCTGCAGGTCTGCCCATCCCAGGGGTATGGCAGCTACAGACCTGTTTCCCTAGGGCCACATGCTTTGTCTCCATTCTTGTCCTGGCTGGACCAGCCACCATGGGACCAACACGCACCGCCCCACCACAGTACCCCAGATCGCCCCTCTACCACGAGGATCGCTTTGTACTTTGTGCAAAGAGGTCTGGCTCTCCTCCATGTCTCTATCTTCTGCCAAGCCTTTCGTGCCCGTGTGTGTGTGTGCGCGTGCACGCATGTACGTGTGTACGTACCCATGTGCGCAAGTGCACGTTTTCATCTGTTCTTTCGTTGCACAAGGTATTTATTGAGTGCCAGGCACTGTCGCTGAGTTCCTGTGGGTGTCTCTCTTGATGCCATTCTTGCTTCTCTGGGGGGCTCTTTCTGTGCTTCTCTTTGTCCCCAAATTGCTACCTCTTTGTCAGTCTGGGTGTCTCAGGTTCTGTGTGTCCTTGGTGCATTTCTCTGTCCTTGTTTCTCTGCAGGGCCTTTTTTTGTGTCTCTCCCTTCCTCCGTGTCTGCCCTTGCCCCTTTAACGCCTGCTGGGTGTCTGTAAGCCCCTGGTCTGCCCTGGGCTCCCCAGCCATCCTGACCTCCCCTGCCGTGCCCCTTCACTCCCTCCCTGACTCTGCATGTCAATTCCCATGGAGCCATTTTTAGCTCCCAGCAGCATGGGAATGTGCTCAGCTTCCATGGGGCTCTGTCATGGTGCCCCAGCCCCTGGTCCCAACCTGAGTGCCAGGAGTGGGGGCAGGAGGACTGATGGTGCCCCCTTCTGTAAGTGACAGAAGCCCTGGAGAGGGGGCTCTTGTGCAGCTGGTCTCCACTCCTCTGTCCTGAGCAGGGGATGGGAGCTCTCCCCCCGCCCCCCCCCCCAAGGCTTCATCCTCTCCCATCCAGCTCTGCCCCTACACCTGCCCGCTCCTCTCCCCTCCCCCACTCTACACCCCCCTCTCCCCTCCCCCACCCCACACCCGTAACTTGCCTCACC